ATCAAGTTTATGCCTCTGCCTGGTGATTTGGGTCGCCTTGGTCCTGGGCCCACTCCAGGAGATCACAAAGACATCAGGAACATAGATGTTTCAGCTGTGGTAGAAGGGGACATGTAAAGAGAAATAGTAGGCAAAGAAATTCTAATGATCCCTCATGCAAAAGGCCACTGCCTTCTGGATTGTGTAGGAGATGTGGTAAGGGCAGACACTGGACTAATGAGTGTAGAAAGACCAGGGAAATGCAAGGGAACTGATTAAGGCCAGGGCCTTCTTGAGGCCCCACATCAAAAAAGGTCCGGTCATTTCCAGTAGCAGTGGAAGACAATCTCTCACAGCCAGTTCGAAGATATCAATGGAAGATTTTACCACAAGGGATGCTAAATAGCCCTACTTTCTGTCAACAGTTTGTACAACAACCTTTGGAAATAATTTGTAAAGAATTCCCACAATCCCTCGTTTATCATTACATGGATGATATTCTCTTATCAGCTCCCAATAAGGAAACTTTGGAATGTTTGTTTGACATGGTGAAGGAAGTTCTGCCTAGATGGGGGTTACAGATTTCCCTGGAAAAGATACAAAGAGGAGATTCTATTAACTATTTAGGTTATAAGATAGACTTACAAAGAATCAGGCCACAGAAGGTGCAAATTAGAAAAAGTCGTTATCAAACTCTTAATAGTCTTCAGAAGCTTTGAGAGGAAATTTCTCAGTTGCAGACAATTATTGGGGTAGAAGGTCATGACTTAAAACATTTAAAAATGACTCTTAAAGGTGACAAGGACCTAAACAGTCCACGAATATTATCTGCTGAGGCAGAAAAAGAACTACAATGGGTAGAAAACAGAATATTGGATGCACATGTAGATTGGATAAACCTTGATTTAGACTGTATTCTGGTTATCTTGCCATCCAGAGAATATCCTTCTGGAATTCTGATGCAGAGGGAAGATACTATGTATATTGGAGTGGATATTTCTGCCACATAAACAGAATAAAAAGTTAAAGACATGCATAGAAAAGATTTCTGATTTGAGTTTAAAGGGCAAATTAAGACTTCATCAACTGACTGGCAAAAGTAAGCAGAAATTATAGTACCTTTAAGTAATGATGAAATTTCCTCCTTATGGAAGGATAATAAATATTGGCAAATAGCTCTTACTGACTTTTTGGGAACGATTAGCAATAACTATCCCAAAACTGACAGAACTAAATTCATAAAAAGACAGTCTGGATTCTTCCACATATTGTAAGGTAAACTCCCATTTCTGGAGTTCTTACCTTCTACACTGACGCCAACAAATCAGGTAAGGCTGATTATAAAGCAGGTGAGGTAAGTAAAGTAGTTCAAATCCATATATGTCTGTAAGAAGGCAGAATTACATGCAATTCTCATGGTGCTTATGGATTTTACAGAACCACTTAACATAGTTACTGATTCCCAATATACAGAGAGAGTTGTCTTGCACATTGAGACTGCAGAATTCGTTCCTGACAATACGGAATTAACCTCGTTGTTTTTACAATTACAGGAAACAATAATAAGCAGAAGCAATTCTCTATACATTACACATATCAGATCCCATATGGGTCTGCCTGGCCCACTAGCACAAGGCAATGACGAAATTGATCATTTATTAGTTGGAAGTGTGCTAGAAACCTCAGAATTTCATAAAAAATCATTTAAAAAGCAAAGGTTAAACAAGGACTTCTCATTCACTTGGCAACAAGCCAGGGAGATAGTGAGAAACTGTCGTACTTGTTCTTTTTATAACCAAACTCCACTGCCAGCAGGCTATAATCCTAAAGGCATTCAGAGGAATGAGATCTGGCAGATGGGTGTCTTCCACTTTACAGAATTTGAAAATTTGAAATATGTGTGTCATACTATTGACACATTCTCAGGGTTCCAATGGGCTACTGCTCTCAACTCTGAAAAGGCTGATTCTGTTATTATACACCTGCTAGAGGTGATGGCAGTTATGGGTATACCTGCACAAATAAAAACTGACAATACTCTGGCATAATGTCTCCACAAAAATGGAAGTTTTTCAAATATTATAACATAAAGCATGTCACCGGTATACCACACAGTCCTACAGGGCAAGCAGTGGTTGAGAGATTTAATAGGACAATTAAGGAGATGCTCCATAGACAAGCTGGTAAGTCAAACCCCCCCAAATATAGGTTGCGTAATGCATTATTGACACTAAACTTTCTTAATGCCAATGACAAAGGACAAACAGCTGCAGAAAGACACTGGACTACGGAAACAACTGCTGAACTGAATCAACCAGTATACTTCAAAGATGTATTAACCTTGGTATGGAAGCCTGGACATGAGTTACATTGGGGTAGGGGTTTTGCATTTGTTTCCACAGGAGAAGAAAAACTTTGGATACATCAAAGTTGATCAAAATTCGAGTTGAAAAAGACAAACCTCTTGACAAGGACGAGTGACAGGCATTTACTGAGGTATATCTCATAAACTAAATAGAAACCTCCTAAAGGAAAGGGAAGGGTTTTGCTTCTATCTTCACAGGAAAACTCATTTCCAGAAATCCAAGGACACTACATGGGTAGATGCTTAAGAAGAGAAGGTAGCTATGACCATCACACAAAAGGAATGTGCCATACGGTAAACTTTACAGCTGTCTCTCAAATAACTATTTCTCTTTATTTTTATTTTTCTAATCCCTATTCAAGTAAATTAATGCTGGATTTAGAGTTGGATTTGGCCCTGTGGAGAGCCTCACTATCCCTGGGGAGGGGCCTAGGGGTGGCTTGGGGTGTTGATAGGGAGCATGGGAGGATGGGAATGGGGGGATGAATATGTAAATAAGTGTGTTTCTAAAAGCAAAAAAGAAAAAAAAAAAAGAAGCAGTGAAGTCAAGCCCTCCTGAGACCACATTTACTATTCCTTTGATCCTCTGAACCTTCATACTTAGGAAGCTGTCATTGAAGAATGAGCTTGTGTCCTGGAATGGTGCCAGCCACGTATTTAGATGAGACATTTTTCCTGGTCAGATACCTGATACCTTTTTAAAAAAATTTTATTATAAAAACAATCTTATTTTTACATATCCCCTAGAATGTCAGTTCTGCATAACTCACTTATTGACCATATGAATTGAATAATTAAGCATCAAGGCAGAAAACAAAGTAAAATAAATTCCCTGTGCTCCAAAACAATATGGGGCTTTATCTCTCATTGTATGGGAAAAAATCAAATTGGGTTTCTGACCTGCAGCTCTGAAATACCTTGAATACATAGTATGAATCCCATTCAGATGCACACATTCAGGCAGCAGCACCCTGCATGGCTGTCCATTGCTCAGAAGGGTGTTTCAAAGCTGCTGCTTAGGATGCTGCAATCAGAAAGTGCACACCCTGGACACCAAGGACAGACAGCCTCTAGATGGGGGAAATGTCTGTTCCAAATTCCTTTCACCTGGAATTAACATCCTTAATACAGGAGGAAAGAAAATCTCAAACACTAAAAAGCTCAATCTACCCAAGTCTGCAAAAATAAAGAGCAGAAGATATTAAAAACGAGAATCATGTTATTTGAGCAGTTTATGAAAAAAGTTCAAAATTATACTGAGAGAAAAAGCCCAATTTAAATCCACATGAGATTTCATCCCAACCTCTTGAAGACATCAAACATATAAAAAATAAATCCAACAAAGTAGGTTTAGATACAGGGGAAATAATTCCTTTTTTGTCTGGGTAGTGAAATCTATCTACTGAGGACACTGTGGAAATTAGTGTAACGTTGGGTCAAAAATTATTCAAACTAAGTGATCCCTCTATGATACCCCTGGAAATGTAATCACCATGTTTAGCTCAACATCCTATGGAAACATCCATATTAATTGCCAGATAATCTACAAGAGTAAAGATAGGGAAATAACATCATTAGAGGAATGAAAAGCATATGAAAAAGACTTATATCCTTCCATAAATAACAAGGAGGCCAGTGATTTGATGTCCTGTCTGAATATGATTTCTCTGTTATCCATAATAATATGTGAAAGAAATTAATCCACACTAATGCATAGACTCTCTATTAGGAAATGAGTTTTCTGCATTCCAAATAACCAAAGTTCTTTTTTATTGGCAAAGTCTTAAGAGACTGCATCTGGAAATTAGTTATGATACCAAGCAATAGTAGCAAGTCTGGATGAAACCATAGCTCTGGATGTAGAAATGTTTCCATCCAAAACACTAAACATAGGAACTGAATAGCAGACAGGGAGATCATGTTTCAGAATTTGGTTTGACTGTAAGCATCTGCACTGGTATGAAAATTGGACTGACTGAGTGGGTGTTGAGTCACAATAATTCATAAATTTTCTGGTTTTGGCGTGAAGACAGGTTCTCCAGAGGGCAGGAAACAGAGCTAGTTTCATGAGATTCTGCACATGTGAATAGCATCGATTAGCATATGAACAATACAGAAAGTGCTCTGCTCTTGGCTGAATGCTCTATGTAATACTACTCTTCCATGTCATTGACAGCAGAGAACATATTGTCCCTTGCTTCAGCTCAAGCTCTGAATGACATAGGCCCTTTAGGATTATCTCACCTCTCACTCCTATGGAAATCCTCATGAAATCCACTGAAATAATTGCCAATGGTGTTCATACACATGGGAGTTGAAACAGGATGGGGCCCAAGTAGTTTAGCAGGAGATTGTCCCTGGGCATTTACACCATGGACATGAATGAAATCATGGCTCCCAAGCTGGAGACCATGATCCTCACAACATGTTTTCCTACAAGTGTTGATGAAAGGGTTGTGGTCCTCAGAGACAGATCCTTAGGCCAGTGTTTTCCACTTTTATCCAGGACGCATAGTAAAGATCGGCCAAAGGGAAATATACATATACTCCCCAGTCACCAACAGCAGTAAAACAGGCACAGAGACTTAAATGCATATGTGTTGTTTGTTGCATATAAATGGGATTCACCTCTGCTCAATCTTATATCTTTGAAGATATGAAGAAGCTGTGTGTTTTCATCATTTGCTTCCTCCTCCTGAAGTTTTCTCTCTTCTTGTGCAGCTTGAGAGAAACCACCTGCTTTTGGAGAATGAAGCAGAGTGAGGAGGATGAGGGAGAGTTGCGGACTGACTGTGGTTTTATTCTTTTCATTAATCCATATCCTATAGAGGAAGATTTCTACAATACTCTAATTCACTTCAGGTACGTCTTTAGCTTCTATGTTTCCTGTGTAAATGCCATGAAGTAGAAGTCTGTGGCTTGCTGGGCGTTTGTGGCACATGCATTTAATCCCAGCACTTTGGAGACAGAGGCAGGCAGATCTCTATGAGTTCGAGGCCAGCCTGGTCTCCAGAACAGGTGCCAGGATAAGTTCCAAACCTGCACAGAGAAAGCTGCACAGAGAAACCCTGTCTCGAAAAAAAAACCAAAAAAGTCTGTGGCTAGGTAGAAAAACTTTAAGTGTTTCTGTTCTATATTTACCTCTGTAACATTGGAAACTAAAGAAAATTTGTTCCTTTTATTGATCATTATTTTGTTATTTTCTGAGGCATTTCATTGTAGTGTGGTTTTCTCTTCTTTTTTCTTTCAATTTTTTTTGTTTAAATTAGAAACATGGTTGGTTTACATGTCAATCCCAGTTCCCTCTCCCTCCCCCTCCTCCCCTGTCCCCCACTAACACCCTACCTATGCCATATTCTTTCAGCTTCCCAAGAAGGGTGAGGCTTTCCATGGGGGATCTTCAGAGTCAGTCATATCCTTTGGGATAGGGCCTAGGCTCTCCCTCATAGGTTTAGGTTGAGGGAATATCCCTCTATGTGGAAGGGGCTCCCAAAGTCCATTCCTATGCTAGGGATAAGTACTGATCTACTACAAGAGGCCCCATAGATATCTGAGGCCTCCTTAATTATACCCACGTTCATGGGGTCTGGATCAGTGCAATGCAAGTTTCTAAGCTATCAGTCTGGGGCTCAGAAGCTCCCGTTTGTTCAGGTGATCTGTGACTGTGGGATTCACCAGCCTGGTCTCGACCCCTTTGCTCATCACTCCTCCCACTCTGTAACTGGATTACAGTTCAGTTCAGTGTTTAGCTGTTGCTATTTCTACTTCCATCAGATTCAGGATGAAGGCATATAAGTTAGTCATCAATCTCATTATCACAGGAGGGCTTTTAAGGTAGTCTCTCAGCTGTTGCTTAGATTGTTAGTTGGTGTTATCCCTGTAGATCTCTGGATATTTTCCTACTGCCTGATTTCTCTTTGAACCTAAAATGGCTCTCTCTATTATGATATATCTTTTCTTTTTATTTTTAAATATTTTTATTTTAATTAGAAAGAATATTTTACATGTCTTTCCCAGATCCCTCTTCCTCCCCTCCTCCATTGTCCACCCCCAAACTAACACCATAACCTTTCTGCTCCCCAAGGAGAGTGAGCTCTTCTGTAGGGGGTATTTAGAGTCTCTCATATCCTTTGGGATAGGGCCTAGGCCCAGCCCTTGTGTCTAGGCTCAGGGCGTATACCTCCATGTGGGATGGGATCCAAAAGTCCATCCTTATGCTAGGGATAAGTACTGAGCCACGACAAGGGGCCTCATTGATTTTCGAGGTCTCCTCACTGACACACACATTCAGGGGGTCTGGATCTGTCCCATGCTGGTTTCCCAGATATCAGTCTGGGAACCAAGAGCTCTGCCTTGTTCAGGTCAGCTGTTTCTGTGGGTTTCACCAGCCTGGTCTTGAGCCCTTTGCTCATCAGTCCTCCTTCTCTGCAACTGGATTTCAGTTCAGTTCAAGATTTAGCTGTGGGTGTCTGCTTCTACTTCCACCAGCTGCTGGATGAGACTATAGGATGGCATATAAGTTAGTCAGCAATCTCATTGTCAGGGGAGGGCATTTAAGGTAGACTTTCCTTTGTTGCTTAGATTGTTTGCTGGTGTCATCTTTGTAGCTCTCCAGTCATTTTCCTAGTGCCTGATCTCTCTTTAAACCTATAATGTATCCTTCTATTATAGTGTCTCTTATCTTGTTCTATTCTGTTCTTCCTCCAATTCAGTCTCCCTGTCCCAACATGTCCTCCTCACCCCTCCTCTTCTCTCCTCATTCTCCTAGTACCCTCTCCCCACCATGCTCCCAATTTCCTCAGGAGGTCTTGTCCCTTTTCCCTTCTCCAGGGGATCATGTATGTCTCTATTAGTGTCCTCCTTGTTTACCAGCTTCTCTGGCAGTGTGGTTTGTAGGCTGCTAGTCCTTTACTCTATGTCTAAAATCCACATATGAGTGAGTACATACCATGATTGTCTTTTTGTGATTGGGTTACCTCGCTCAGAATAGTTTCTTCTAGTTCTATCCGTTTGCCTGCAAATTTCAAGATTCCATTGTTATTTTTTCCCACTAAGTAGTACTCCATTTTGTGTAACTGTACCACATTTTCTATATCCATTGTTCAGTTGAGGGCTATCTAGGTTGTTTCCAGGTTCTGGCCATTACAAATAATGCTGCTATAAACATAGTTGAACAGATGTCCTTGTTGTATGAATATGCTTCTTTTGGGTATATGCCTAAGAGTGGAATTGCTGGATCTTGTGGTAGACTGATTCCCATTTTCTTGAGGAGTCCCCACACTGATTTCCAAAGTGGCTGAATGAGTTGGCACTCCCACCAGCAGTGGAGGAGTGTTCCCCTTTCTCCACATCCTCTCCAGCATAAACTGTCATTGGTCATATTGATTTTAGCAATTCTGACAGGTATAAGATAGTATCTCAGAGTTGTTTTGATTTGCAATTTCATGATGGCTAAGTATTTTGAACGCTTTCTTATGTGTCTTTCTGCTATTTACTTTTTTGCTGCTGTACAAATATTTACTTCATCACAGTAACTTATACAAGCAATACAGGAACTTCATTTTTGGTTTGAGTATAGAACATGTGTATCATAGATATTATTCGCTCTAAGTAAATGTTAAACCGAAAGTACAGAACAGGAAGCAGTTCTCTTTGTTACAGTGCATATATTTGGATTGTTTGTCAAAATTCAGGTGTTCATAAGCGTGTGGGTTAATATCAGGATTTTCAACTTTATTCCATTGGTCTACCTGTCTATTTTTGTGCCAATACCAAGCTGTTTTCAGGACTATAGCTCTGTAATAGAGCTTGAAGTCAGGGATGGTGATGCCTCCAGAAGTTCCTCTATTGTACAGGGTTGTTTTGGCTACCCTGGGTCTTTTGTTTTTGCATATAAAGTCGAGAATTGTTCTTTCAAGGTCAGTGAAGAATTGTGTTGGCCCAGTCTGTTTATGTGGTGGATTGATGGATTTTTGTATGTTGAACAATCGTTGCATCCCTGGGATGAAGCCTACTTGATCAAGTGGATGATTTCTCTGATGTGTTCTTGGATTCAATTTGCCAGTATTTT